ACTGGGTGAAATGTTACAGTATCCAAGTATTTTGGTGGGATGGCACTCCCTAGAAGTTGTTGTTTGGCCATGACAGCCGTCATTTGACTTAAGCTGTGGCGAGGACGCAATCAAAGAATAGCAATCTCATAAATATATAATTTCGTCACATCGTTGTACAGCTAACAAATTCAAATCGACCACTCAGTCAAAGCTTGCCAAAGAGACCAGTCGGTCTTGAAACGTTGTGACACATTTAATACGTACATTGTTTGTGTAGAAAGTAAAATTTTGATATCACATATTTCCAAACTGATGAATCTTATTGAAGATAATAGCAGTCTTGATCACCGTGAACACGGGGATTGGCATATTTTGAATGTTTTTTTATTTAAATTTTTAATTATTATTATTGTTTTTATAAACATGGTCTTGCAAAACTATAACAATGTCCCATAAAAATGTCCGTGCATTGTTACAATATTTGGGAAGTGGTATTGCGATCCCTACACAAACCGTGATGATGTTAATGCGACTTGGCACAACTGCATTACTTATTTTCGTCAAAACAAAACAAAAGTAGAAAAATATCAAGTATATTAAAACTCAAAATCGACAAAACCATGGTGAGATATGGTCAAAGGAAGGATGTAACTAGGTACCTTTAAAAAAAATACAAGGAAAATGAGGCCAGGGATTCCGGAAGGGTAAGCACCCCCTGTTTCATCGAGGAAACCGGTAATGTAAATCTAAAGCGAGTACCGAAGTTGAAACAATGTTACAACGTTTCACACAAAGCCATCAAAACCATCGATATTCATTTCACACAATAACAGTACATAACCCGGACAATGCACGACAGGTGTTAGGGTTTCGTACTTCGGGGTTAAAGCCTCGGCATTCAGGCTACGAACATTTAAGTGACCAAATAGTCGTTAGGGGCTTTACGTACCTCCCCTTCTGTATCAACCAATTTTCTGTTTATACCATTTTGGATTTCCAACTTTTTTGTCCCTATTACCAAATTTTACCAGTGCAATCACCTGTGTTTGTGTTAGAAGGCACGGTAGTCTAGTGATAGGACGCCGGGCTCGTGACCGACGGGTTGCGGTTCGAGTCACGGCAAGGCACTGTGTTGTATATTTGAGCAAGATACTTTACTACTCCGCTTGTTCCAGTCTACTCAGCTGTAAATGAGTACGTGGTTGGGCAGCGCTAGAATTGTTGAATGCTAGCTATTAGCGCCGAAATTGCAGCTCCGGATGTATGCTCCCCATGGAGTTGAGAAAAATATCGGCAGGTTGCAAAGGCCCTATAACCACGGATAATAATTTGTGAACCGCTTTAAGACGACCTACAAACTAGGTTGTGATAAAGCGGTATATAAGAACCTCGAATTATTATTATTATGATTATTTGTTTTACACGATAACTGCACCAAACCTTGTAATTTGACGATGCTGATAGGTGGTGGGGTTTCGTACTACCGTGTTCAGGTGTTCCACCAAACTTTAAAATAATGTTCGAGTTGCCCAGTCGTCAGTAAACAAAGCTTTGATATGGCGTTAGCTGCTGCAGAGACGTGCAATCCCAATAAATCAAACAACTAAGCTGGAACCCACATGTGGTGCAGTGAACATTTACTTTTTCTAGATAATGTAAGAGTTCTTCGTTTTTTGCTTTCGTTTTAGAATCGTCTTTGAGTTCTAATTTTGGACATGTTTGCTAACGCTTTACTTCATATTAGATATTTCTGTTATTGTTGCAATTCTGGATTTAAATAATAAAGAAAACGTGATAGATTCTTCGTTTTTTGCTTTCGTTTTAGAATCGTCTTTGAGTTCTAATTTTGGCCATGATTACTAACGCTTTACTTCATATTAGATATTCCTGTTACTGTTGCAAATCTGGATTTAAATAATAAAGAAAAACGTCATAGATTCAATTTGATTTGGTTAATATTTTTAAGAATTGTTAGAAAACGAAACAAAATTTACAATCATGCAAAGCACGTCTAACATTATGTCATACGAGAGGTATGACAAACAACATTTTACTATAATCAAGTTAATGACCAGATTAAAAAAGGTAATTATTTCATTTTCAAATGGAAATGTTTCAATTTTTACGATTACTAATGATTTCTTAACGTCGTTCCTCTTATATGACATAATTATAGACGTGCTGCGCTTTAAATATAGCGAAATTGTGAAAATCGATCGGATGTTCTGTTCAAAACCTCAAAAAAATATGAAAGAGATATTTAAATGTCATATACTGTTGGCGCTGACCTTGCCCGTGACACGTGTACGTTATATATAACAACCTGATAGTAAATTCATAAAAAAAAAAAAAAATATAAAAATAACCCACATATTTTTGTATCCTATGGCATGATGTCGACCTATATGCATGTACCTTAGTCTGGTACTTACATTGAATCATGACAGCTTTCAGAAATACTGACGCAAATTAAGCCCTTGGAAATCGTTACATTTGATTATGGCAAGCCAAAAAAGATAGCACTATAACTTATGGACCTGTCTTATAACGAATAGAGATTCATCGTATCGTCATACTTTATTTACACATGTATACCATAAATTTATTAAAATAAAAAAATATCTTTGATTCGATTACAGATACAATGTATCTTTAAGTAGATAAAATATATCAATATTGCGTTTAAATATATATTTTATTCAATTAAATATATTATTTTTTATGATATCTTTAATTCAATTAAAGATATAATTACTTATTGTAAAGATATCTGTATAATGCTTGCCACTTCTCTTTGTGTGTTATTTACTCGGCATGCCATGCTCAATAGATGAATTGAAATATAGGATAGGATAGACAAAGGGATTTTATCAGAATTGAAATGTCCTAGCTGTCTCTTAAAAACAAAACATGTTGACATTCGTATCTAATACGCTTTCAACTACGAGTGAATTTTAATGATATTTGATGTATGAAGGTGTCACGTGTATACATGTATAAATGCTTTAAGTTCGTTTAATCAAAGAGCTGAAAAACAATTGCACCACCTTATTCAAAGGACAGATATAGCATATCAGCATGAAAGCCCCGAAGTGAAGTTAAATGTAAACATTTTAAAATAATGTGAAACACAGGAGGAGGAGGAGGAGGAGGAGGAGGAGGAGGAGGAGGGTCGTTTGGTGCCACATACCCATTTTTTCGTAAAATGCTATATATAGATGACCTACTCATTCTCACATCAACCTAGTGTAGATATACATATACATATATATGTCTATATATATATTGATTTCCTTTCATCCCTTTGTATGGAGTGTTTCTTTCTGACCTATATCTCAAACATGGTTTGGTCTCCACGATTAAAATAGGTAAGGTAAACACTTATACTGTCATTTAAGACATAGATCAATCGCACGTGCAAACAAAACATTACCAAGATACCACGGACATCAGATATGAAAGGTCAATGACGTTTCTGTTTAAACACATGCTTAATCGTATCTTGTGAAGGATTTTTATTGGAATGATAGCAATATCTCATATGGTGCGGCATTATAAGTTTCATAACAATATTGGTAGTCCTAACGATGTTAACATTATATTTTATGTTTAATGCGTTATGAGTATTTATAGGGTACAAAAATGTATTCATATTTGTCCTGTAAATTTCATATTCTGGAGTTTTGATCCCTTACAAATTTCTGGGAAACATAGCCCGCATTATCCCACTACATGATCCTAAGAGGCAAAAGCTGTATGCAGACTCCAATTATTTTCTGAGTGTTCTACGTAGATGCACCGAAGATTGATCCGCTTCCCTCGTGATAAATTAGGAAATATTTCTTGCCTTATTTCTTCAATAGTGTACCTCTACCTAACTTGTTGTCAGCGTTATTTGATCAGGTTGGATATCGTGGTGCTATATGCAAGTAGTAGTTTTTGAGCAAAATGGCACCACAACGTTACCAAAACTGACCCAATCATTGATTTATATAGATCTTCTAAGCTTAGTTCAACCAACTGACAACCTTTTTTAGGTCCATTATTTTTAGAATCCATAAACAGATGATATCAGAAAAAAACCCATAAAACGATATGTTGGTCATAGTTAATATTTGCGAAAATTATTTGATGTTAGTTGATATTTAAACGTCATCTTTATTTTATATTGTTGTCTCACTGGTTTCTTTTGCTGTAATGTTGCTATTGTTGTCATCTTGGTTTCTTTTGCTGTAATTTTGCTATTGTTGTGTTCTTGGTTTCTTTTATTGTCTTTTCTGTTGTTGTCTCCCTGGTTTTTTTTATTGTCTTTTCTGTTATTGTCTCCTTGGTATCTTTTGTGTCTGCTCGGTTTCTACAGGGGACTTTCCGCTGTGACCTTGATTTCTTATTTCAACATTGTGTGTCGTTCAAACTAAGAGATGGTGATATGTTTAGTGTAGATAAGGCATGATTAATGGGTTCTTGAGATTCCTATTAGCCTGTACCTATCCACTCAATAATGCAAAGACAGTTTTGTACATAGCATACCTGCATTTGACCATACTTATGAAACCTGATTCATAACAAGGTAAGGTGACGCTCCAAATAATCGTTAACTTGTGTATTTTTGCTTGTACCTGTTCAATGATTAACACAAATTCAAGTTATACTGTTAATATCAACTGTTGGTTACGAGTGTCATCGAGACAACGAAGTAACGCGAAAATAAATTCTGAGCCAAAGAAATGGTTCGTTTTGTACGAGACGGACATGGAAAAAACTTGCGCCTGCATTTTCTTCCCTTTGGCAATATAAGACGCAGGTGTATCTCTGAATGTGTTTAACTTTTAAAACCTGCATTCTGAATTCATTTCAAACATACAATTTATTTAACATATTTATAATGTATCTCACAGACTCATTTTCCCGCCGAGAGCATGTGTATTACAACTCTATTTCAGCAAAGCAATTTATTTATTAACTCAATGAAAAAAGTTGTTTTAAAAAGATATCTTGTTTATGATTTACAGGAAATAATGTATCTGGTCACACTCATATTCCTGGTGACCGCTTCCTCTATCGTGTATGCGGAGTCAGCTAACCAAACGACCCATTCCGCAACTGCAGACTTCAACACCATTCTTCTAGTTGTTTCCGATCTTACCAAGCGCGTTGAGAGACTGACGAAATATCGGGTAAATGATCTCAACGTTATCGCATCATTGGAAGCAAAAATTGACCTTGTTGAAAAGACAAATCATCAGATTTTAGAAGAGAATCGCACCTACAGGAACAGAATCAAAAACTTGGAAAACCTTCACCAACAACATGGCCAAAAAGTATCTACCAGTGTACACCACAGCAAGCAAATACGAGGCGCACGACGCCCACGCAGACAGTTGTTTATGAATTGGATTAACTATGAAAATACCATGAATGAAAATCCCAATGAAAATAATAAAACAACAGACACAATTCATAAAGCAACTGATATCCGATCAATAATTGAGGAACAAAATAACCCCCGAATCAATCAAGCTAGATCGCACACAAACAAGATGGAGAATAGGAAGCCTCAACAGGGAGCCCTACGTGTTGGAGGTATACACATATATTTATTTTTCTAACGTAATGTTTTTTGTGATGTTTTGTTTTACTTAAGTGGTTTTGCGCAGCTCTTGTGTTGCGCTTGTGTTGCATACGTGTGCAATGCTTTTATGGAGGTTTTATTGTAACACAGTCACATTTGTTTTCCCTGACATAGAACTGTATATTCAACAATTAGAATACAATGCCGAGTTAGGACTAGGGATATCTTATATCGTTGTTATTACAGTATCACAATTAAAATCGAAATATGTTTACAAATGATATAGCTCTTACAGACGCAATCGTGACAATTCAAAATGGGGTACATCTAGTGGCATACAATGAGTTAAGCAATTGTCATCAATGGGTACATGTAACTGTTCACGTTGTCAATTGTATGAATATGATTTCTTTTAGCGATGTTTTCTAAATACGACTGTTGCAGTGATGTATTAAAAAAATACCAACTAGAATATCAAAATCAGATCATTTTCGTTATTTCCCTATTGTGCGTAACAATACGCTTATCAAGCTTAATATAGCTTAATTGCTAATATAAATAATAGATCTGTTTTGATCAGTTATCCATTGGCTATACATTGTGTCATATTGGTGATAAGCTTTAAAGACCTTAGAATTTGATACTGTATATATATAACCCTTAATCAATGGTACTCTTTGCTTTACGACCATAATTTTGTATTCTTATTGCTGTGATATCGCCCTATTTGGTACACATAGCGAACTACTATGTGGCGTCATAGTTCATGACGTCATGATTTCTCCTTAAAAAAGACAGTCTGAAGAACTTCCTTGATGAGATGACATTTTGTTGAATTTTTGTCTTTTTATATTATGGATTTAATTTTTTTTTATTTATTTATTTCAGCACCAACAGACGGCAGCGTTGCATTTTATGCGTATCTGTCCGCCAGTATAAACGAACCTGGTGATGCATACACAATAAAGTTTGATCACGTGATCACAAATAACGGAAACCATTACAACCCTGTGACAGGGGCATTTACCTGTCCAAAAGACGGTGTCTACGTCTTCAACTGGAGTATAGGTAGAAACAGTATTGGGTTTATCCACTCGGAGCTAAGGAAAAACGGAGCCGCTATTGGATATTCCACGAGTGCAGACGACCATTACCCCACAGATTCGTCACAATCGTCAGTACTGGTGCTGAGTCAAGGAGACGTGGTTACAGCAGCTGTCACAGGGCATTCCTCGTCACCAAAACTCTGGCGATATCATACTTCCTTTACCGGATTCTTGATACACTAAGACACATTCAATGACACCGTTTAGACCATGTAAATATAATTCTCCTACAACTACTATATTTCCTTACTTCCAATTCATTGAATGGGCGAATTTTCTTTTTACGGTATGAATAAATGCAATTTGGGTCAGATTCTGTCAGATAACGACGGAATGCTGATTATTAAATCTGAAAAAGTGTTAACCTTATAATTTACATAGGTATCAGACACATTTGTTAACTAAACATAGGAGTATTTAAAAAAATGGAGCAATGGAGATATAGAAAAACACACACACACACACACACACACACACAGGGGACGAGTAAACATCAACTGGAGGATTAATAAAACGAACAGGTTTACATGTTGAGCTTATCAAGGTTCCCTTGATAGGTTTTAGATGGTGCCCTGGATAGACATGAGTGGGTCACTGACATGTCATATTAGCCGCCGACACTGACATATATACCACTACCTGGGTCAATAGCGCCAGGGGTCGACGTTCGTACGTCCCAGGACATAAGTTCTTTATATTTGTAAGACCTCGTTATCTGAACTGAGGCAGCAGTGAATTTCACATGCAGTAAGGTCGACAGACTTTGACAAAAGAGATTTAGTCGCTAGGAGGTTTGCAATATTGAAATTGGTCCCATACAAAATATCATTTATCTTGAATTCTTTCTCTTTCTCTAAAGTTATTGCGGAAAGAAACCGGAGTACCCGGAGAATTTCCACGTGGTCGGGAAGGTGACCTAAAACCTTTTCACGTCCGATCGGGGATTCGAACCCCGACCGCCATGGTGAGAGGCAAGTGCGTTATCCACTGCACCACTCGACCACCTTAAGGAAATCGTTTCTTTCTCTCTTAGATTCCATATATATCCTTGATTAGAGAAGGAAATATGTATATATAGCTTCCCTTGACAGGTTTTAATCTGTTACTTCATCGTTATAAGTTTACAAGATTAAAATATTCACATTGTATATTGCACTTAATCAAGAAAAGGATGACATTTAGTCACGTCGTGTACGTATAACCCAGAGCAGAATCCCATTATACAGACGCCGTGTAGTAGTTCATGTAAACACGTATCCAGCTGAATGGAATATTAGAAAGATCGGATTAAATACTGTTTTACCACCAAGACAATAATTTGGAATCAGAGGGGTATTTTGTATCAAAGTCCAGCTGTACCACATATGAGTACAAGTTCATTGAACCATGAAATCACGTTAGTATGCTGACATAGAAAAAAAGCTTACTGTAAACAAACAACGACCTTCACCCGTGGAAGGCAACCGTGACTGACTGAGACAAATAGATATAGCTTCATCCAAAGGCCAACCTCCTTCTAATACCATAGGGTAATAGAATAACAAGATTCAAAATATTTACATTATACATCAACATTAAATCTAGGCAATGCAAATTCATATTGAATTGTATGTACTTACTAGACTCCTTGAGGAGATCAAAAGGATAAATAGGTATGGTAGATATAATATTTTATTTACTTTGAACAATATTTGTATTTCACAGATGTTTGAAAGGATATATAAATGCAATGTATATCGGACAAAATAGGAAACAGGGTGAATACCTGTGTAAATTTCTCTTCTATTACTTTGTCTATTGATTTTATACAGAGTTGTAAATGGTTTGCCCAAAAGTACCAGTAAAACACCCACCGTGATATTCCATATGCTCCTGTTTGTTGTGACGTCCTAGATATCTACACTGTATTTTGAGATTTGTGGCGGTATTTCGTGATTTTACTTTCGCAAATCATTAAGATTTACAAATAAAATGCTTTGTTACATGTCAAATGAATAACTATTTAGTCATTTTTTTTACCATAACTTGTTATTACTCCTAAAGCTCTCTGTCTCTCTTTTCTCTCTTTCTCCTCCTCCGGCACCTCCGTGTCTCTCTACCCGCCTTCCAATATCTCTTGATTTTCTCTCTTACTAGCTCTCCGTCTCTCTCTTTCCGCCAATCTCTTTTGATTTTCTCTCTTTCTGGCCCTCTTTCTCTCTCTCTCTCTCTCTCTCTCTCTCTCTCTCTCTGTCTTTCTTTCTCTTTTGAATTTCTCTTTCTCTTTTTGGCCATATATCTCTCTCTGTCCTTTCATCTCTTTTGATTTTTTCTCTTTCTTTCTCACTATATCTTCTCACCTCTCTTCATTTTCTCTCTTTCTCGCCTCTTTCTTTCTCTGTCTTCCAATCTCTCTCAATTTTCTCTTTATTTGGTTATCTTTCTCTCTCTGTTTTCCCATTCCTATGTCTCTCTATCTTTCATAGTAATATTAAATAGTACAAAACTGTATACACACCAGATGTTTGCTGGGTTTAATCAGCTGCGAACAATGAACCAGAGAGTTGATCGAACACCCTGGCCGGATTGCATAAATACACATACAAATAACACACATAGTGGCCAGCAACACAGGTTCATTGTCCGGCAATACTGACCGTTACGTACAGAGTGGTCACTCAACCCAGACAATTGTAAAAACATATTTATCCACCAACACTTATATACCATCTACATTAAACAAGATAAATGGCTGACTTGTTTAACACTCCTGAATATATATCGAAGTTGTATTATATCATAAAATATATCCTAACATGTTTTGTTATATTTTTATCATTAAAAATGTGTTCTCAAGATTTACCACGAAATTGAATATCCACGGTTGTTCTTATTGCAAATACACTATTTATTCTACACTGCAGAAAAGATAACCAAACACTTGACCAATGGAAAACAATAGTACCTATCCTCTTGACTATCCAATTAAACTGAGCAAATATGTTTTTGTCTTATTACAATACGGTTAATCATAATACGACGGTGTACATTAATGTTATTGACATTTGACCAAAGGTTCACAGAAAACATTACAAAACACGTATTTATTTCATTAAATATTAAAATGAAGACAGTCTTTTTGGGTCCTTTTTTTCTCCGCGATTCGACATTCATTTCTAGTGCGGTCATTTAACATGGAGGATATGTTTATATAATTTAGTAGAAACCTACTAATGTCAAAAGGATATTGTTTTATTATATATTTTTATTTATTGTAGTAGTTAGCGTAAGGATCAACACATGAACAGAGACGAGGAGGGGGGCACCGCTGATTCATCAGTATGACTCGATACTGACCTTACTCTATTCGATAGAGTTTGGTTCCTGGTCGAGGGAAATATGAAATATACAATTTCGTCACATCGTGTGTCAATATTACCTCAGACAAATCAATTTCAAAACACTGAGCAATTTGGATTTTAGGAATATTGGAAAATTTGTAGGAATAATAAATCAGTCATACGATAATCAAATGGGGTCCAGATGATTTCTCAATGATTAGCTCAACTTTTATTTGTGTAGGGTCTATTACGTCTTTCATTGGTTCCATAGCCCTGTTGTTGAAATATTTTATATAAACGGGGCCGCGATGGCCGAGTGGTTAAGGCGTCTCACATTCTTCCACCACTAGCCCTCCACCACTGGGCCATGGATTCGAGGCCGACGTGGGGCAGTCGCCAAGTACTTTCCGCAGGTCGGTAGCTTTTCCTCCGGGTACTCTAGCTTTCCTCCACCACCACGTCCTGAAAAGAACCCAAAAATAACAAAACAGTCTGGATGAAGTAGTCGGATATATTGAAATAAATAAATGTGCCCGAGTTGAGATGCCCGTGTTCAATATCTGCACATGAAACTTCTATCATGAATGTTTACATGTTTAAGTGAAATAAGTAATTTTATAGCTGAGTTTTACGTATCTGACAATGAGGTAAGCTTCCTAAGGAATACTTTACCATGAAATGATATCTTTCCTGGAATTTTTACCTCTCACATGTAGTCATTCTAAATTTCTCTTGAATTCCCCAGTCATGATCATGTGTCCATATCAACGTTGCTGTGAGTCAGCGTTATCTAATATCTTTTAAACATACACAGCATGCAACAGCCGTTGGTCGTATGTTCAGTCGATACACATATAAACCTAAGATATTTATTGTTATTAGTATATAAATAAAAGATATATTCAGGTATGTAAATACTGTCAATATTACGTCATTCCATCGACATAAGTGCATTAATATAGCATCATATTTGATACATTTTATAAACACTGAAATTAACAAAATTGATATCTACAAGTATTATATATTTCATGTATTTGCCAACAAAGTTATATAATTCTATCGGCACATGAACGTACATAAGAGGATTACAAGACATAAATAAAGGTATTTTACATTTCAATAATGTTGTCAACACTATTGCATCAGTTATAAATATATGACCTATTTTATTCAACTGCATGATCGAACAAACAACCAATATGAAGCTCGCGACGGAACCGTTTTCCTCCTTTCTTCTTTCTCTCTTTCTTTTGTATATCTTTTTGTAAGTCTTTAATTAAACGAATTTCTTTAAATAAAAGTGGTTAAAGTACTAGTGGGGAACTAAGAAACTGTTGTCATTTTTCTTTTAAATATGGGTAATAAATATAAAGTGATAATAAAGAAATAAGTTTTTGCAATGGAAAATATAATATATAACAACAAGTATACAGGACTGACCGCTAGGCCTTTCTGCTTTCTTCAGGCTTATACATTGTATGTAAACAATGAATACAACATTTATCAAAGACACAAAAAACGCAAACACCAAATTAGCTACTATGATATTTTTTTATTATTTAAGGTTTGGTGATTATATGACCATGGCGTTATCCAGATGTGGTTACAGATGTGGAAATTAGAGTCAGGGGACAAAACCAAACTGAGATCAACTTCATCAAACTTGTGCAAAATTGCAAAACTTGGGACAATTGAAATATGAAGGACAAATTAAGTGAACACTGGGAATAGATGTGCACCTCATTTTCCTCACTTTTACCAATTACTTATTCGGCAATAATTGGTCCAATTAGAAATATTTAAATTTTCAAGTGAACACTGGGAACAGATGTACGCTTCAAATTAATTATGCTATCAAATTGCAAATTCGATTTATAACTTCACAAACTTAGTTCAAGTGAAACTGTTGATTGAATGACAACTGGTCAAAATGGTAAATATTTTGACTGAAGCGGTACTGCT